CCCTTTTGGAAGACTGGGGTGACACTGGCTTTCTTCCAGTCCTCAGGCACCTCTCCTGTTTTCTAGGACCTTTCCAAGAGGATGGACAGTGGCCTAGCAATGATGTCTACACTCGTGGGTGCATCACATCAGGGCCCACGGGCTTGTGGGTATCAAGTCTTCCTAAACGATCTCTAACCCGATCCTCCTCGACCAAGGGAGAGTCTCCCTTAGTCCAGACTTTCCGTCTTTTCTCCATGGTCAGGGATTCCTGAGGGCTGGCCTTAGCAGTGAAGCTGAAGCAAAGAAGGCCTTCAGGATCTCTGCCTTCTTTGTGCCCTCTGTTGCCAGGGCCCCTGCCCAATTCAGTAGTGGGCCCATGTTTTCCCTAGTCTTCCTTTTGTTACTGATATATGTGAAAAAGCACCCGTCTTGAGCCTGGAGGAAGTGATCCTTGAATATTAACCACCTCCCTTGGACCCCCTCCTTCCGTCTAGGGCCCTGCTCATGGGATTCTTTCAAGAAGGTCCCTGAAGAAGCCAAAGTTTGCTCTCCTGAAGTCCAGGGTTGCGATCCTACTTATTGCCCTGCTTCTTCCTCACAGGATCCTGAACTCCACCATCTCATGGTCACTGCAGCCAAGGCTGCCCCCAACCTTCACCTCTCCAACTAGACCTTCTTTGTTTGTTAGTACAAGGTCTAGCATTGCACCTCTCCTCGTTGGCGTCTCCACCACCTGAGTCAAGAAATTATCATCAGTGCTTTGCAGGAACCTCTTTGACTGTTTGTGCCTAGCTGTGCTGTCTTGCCAACAGATGTCAGGGTGGTTGAAGTCTCCCATGAGAACCAGGGCCTGTGATAATGAGGCTGCTTCCAGCTGTCTGTAAAGGCCTCATCGACTTCCTCCTCCTGATCAGGTGGCCTGTAGTGAACACCCACAACAGTGTCACTCATGTTAGTCTACCCTTTAATCCTTACCCATAAGCTCTCAACCTGCTCATCATCCACTCCGAGGTAGAGCTCCATACATTGTAGTTGCTTTCTCACATAAAGGACAACTCCACCACCTCACCTTCCTGGCCTGTCTTTCCTAAAAAGCACACAGCCATTCATGACAGCATTCCAGTCATGCGAGCTATCCCACCATGCCTCTGTAACTGCAGTGAGATCATGGCCCTGCAACCGCACACAGATCTCTAATTCTTCTTGCTTATTCCCCATGCTGTGTGCATTGGTGTATAGGCACTTCAGAGAGGTACGCAAGCATGCAAGCTTCCCAGGAGAGGTGCAAGAGAATATCCCATAGTCACGTCTTCTAGGCACTTCTTTGGCTGCACACACTTGCTGGAGGTATCCCCACTTGAGCCCCGTTTTGCTGTCGGGGTGGTCTCCATAACTCTCCCCTTCCCCCATCTTTCCTAGTTCAGGGAAGCAACACTAGTCCTGAAAGGAATCAGGGTATAATATAGAAAGAAGTAATGACATTAAAAGTGGAATAGTAAGAGGAGTGACATTCAGAAATACAACAAAACATAGACGCTGTGCACTGCATATCAAGAGTTTCTCCTGTAGAAGGAACTCACCAGTTGAAAACGTGAGAGATGGCTCTCAGTACCTTAATTATCAACTGATGCTTATGAGGCTGAAAAGGTATGTGCTCAAATATGCTATTGCTTCTCCTCAGAACAGCTATGATCATTTTATGTACATTACTTAAAAAAAATGGAAGAAAACTTCAAAAATGCTAAATTAACAGACTAATTTTCCATCAAGTATTACAGTTAGAATTTAAAGCACTTTTCAAGTAAAATAATACACTCATGCCAATATATTTGCATAGGAATAGAATGGCTCAGTTCAAGTGTGCTAGCTGGGGAAGCCAAATTCAAAGTGATTTTTAACTTCTGTAAATGTTTTGAGACTAAAATATTCTGTGATCTTCTAGCCAAAAAATGTTGCAACATCGAAAAAATTTAAAAGAAAAAAGAACACTTCTAAAAGTTATTTTTTCTACTTAGTCTTATATGTCAAAGTTTTTTCACTTTCTAAATCGATACTTCAAGTATCTCACCATGAGTTTGTATGCATCCATAATCAAACCATCCCTACGCTGGCAGCTTCACAATCTGAAGCTGTATTTTAGCCATCTGAACCTGACTGAAAAGGATCGTTTTGTGCATTTCCTTTTTCTGACAGCTATCTAGAGAACAATGACCTTCTGAGTCCGCAACATTATCATGTTTTTTTGCAATACCATGGCAATTCTGTGATTTCCAAATCAAGAGAGTATAACTGTCACTGCCGCAATCAACTACTCAATTTCTCTGCCAATTTTTTGACTGAACAGGATGTGTGGCCTTTTTAATATAGCTTATAACTACACTCAAAGGTTATTTGAATTGTTACGTTTAAAAGTTTTGTCTCTATAGAGAATCCAGACAAGGCAAACGGAAGAGCCTTGAAAAAATTTATCATGAATGTGTACATTAGGACACCAGAGATCACTAAAAACTTCAGCAGTTGCCTTTTACAGATTTAGTTTTCACTCAGAGGGAAGAGTTCTACACTTCTAAGAAAAATCAGGAGTTATCATTAGGTTAAAAAAGCAAAATATGGTCCTGGCACCCACCTCTATATGAAGAATTGCCTTTTTTTTATCATTTTTTTCCCCCATGAAAAATTAAGCTTCCATAGCACAGAAATGTTTTCTTTGATATAACTAAAGAACAGGAAGAGAGACACTCTATTAAATGATTAGCCATTGCTCTATTTCCGTTTCATAGATTTTTTTGATTTAAAGAGAAAACAAAAAACAAAACAAACATGATTACTCCATAGAAGCTATCAAGGGAAAAAGTAAAAGCTTTTAGGAAAGGATATAGATGAGCTAACAGGATTCTTTCTTACCCCTTCTCAGTTAGCTACTGGACTAAAAACCAGCACTGCAAATTCACAGAAGATATACTGACCCAGCGGGTTTGAGTATCCTAAGTCACAGACACTCTTCACTGTTCATGTAAGCATACAGTGACATCTTTGCAGTTCTGATGAGCTACTAAAGAGCAAACTTGCCTAAAAAGCACCATCTTCTAACACTAGTAGTTAGTGAATAGAAGAGTATAAATATACAAGCCGGACTTCACCAGTCTGATTTCACTCGGTTTGTTACATGCGGAACTACTCAAACAAAACAGCACATTGTTAAGTCAGCAAGCCGATGGCAGGAACAAAACACAAAGAGTGACTTAGCAGCTCAAATGCAATCTCCCACACTTGCAGCTGCACAGGTAATAGATGCCTAGCATAGAACATCTCGTTCCATACAGGCATGTGCCCACACACACCCTCTCCAGTGAACTGAATTCTTGCATTTCATAAATCAGGGGGAATGGACATTTGCACTAAGCTCTCCATAAGAAGTCTCAGTCACACACACACTTACGAGAGGTTCAGTGCAATACGGTTCATTCGGGGCACAGGAGGCCAGTCTCTGCTTGGCAGCATTCAGCTGGTTTGCTTCTATGAGAGCAGCACTGGGTGGAAGAGACCAAGATCAAGGCTCTGCCTCATCCAGCTGAAGGCCTGAAGATCTCAGATTGCTTGTCGGGCTAGTAAGCTGAAGTGCACTAAGCACACAATTAAAGCATTTTCCTGGCTTAGCCTCAGATTCTGTTCTTCTTGATGTTTCCTATCCATCTCTCCTGCCTTAAGGAATTTAAACTTGTCAAAACTCAAGGCTGTCACATATTGCCAACTTATTCAAATGTATTTCCATTTAGATGTCAGAATAGGAGACCAAAGTTTAGAAAAAACGTCACTCAAGCAAAGGTATCGAAAAAAAGCAAAAGAAACCTCAAAGGCAAACTTTAAAGTTACCTTATAAAGATTTCAAATATTCAATTATTTTCCTTATAGGAAAATTAAACATCATCTAGAAAACAAAAGTAGGAAAACCAAGAAAAATTTAATAAACAGAAGATTAATTGGCCTAATTTGGAAAGGTAATTATAACTCTGGCTGTTAAGCATGCTTTAGAAGCAAGTTAGTCGTCTGGTCATGACAGCTAATCTCCATTCAACTCTAAACCTTGACACCCTCAAAGCGATAAAGGGAAGCTGTTGGCCTATGCCTCTCCTGCTAACACTCAACTGCCCACCCTGTTGTCACAAGGCAAAGAGGTCATCTGCCACACACCAGATTTAGAGAGAATGTGATTTAGCTAGTTAAAAGGGGCTAATACAAACAGGTGAATGATAAAAACAATGTTCAAAACTAAAAGTCAAAGCTAATCATAATTATTCAGACTAAAAACAGACACAGAAAAAAGTTTTATTAATTAGTAAAATTAGTTCCCTGGTCAAGGATACTTTAAGCATTCTTGACTCCAGTGGAATTCTCAGCTCCTTCGTGAGTGTCTCGTTGTCTCCGTTACTGGTGGATTGGGATAGTCCTTCATAATACCCAGAGCTCCCAGGCTTCTTACTGTACAATTGGTGACACAAACTCCTTGAGACCACAACCCTAGAGCCACTCTGAAGCTATCCATGAGGGGCTGGAAATCTCAGTTTCCAGGTTTCACAGGCACCAGAGTGTCAATATTGCACTCTGATGTAAATGAAACATTAAGACTTTTGCCTCTTAACAAATTTCAAACAAAATGGGGAAAAAGCTATCATGTAGTTTGAAAATAAACTGCAAAACAAAGAACAAGGTATGCAAAGAGCACTACTAAGCAAGGCGAAAGAGAGAACTAGTTTCTGTAACGCATGTGAACACAATAGTTAGATGTTTGAGGACGACCACTATAAACAAAGATGTTCCTTCTTATGAAGAGTTTGGTTATTTCTAGCTCATCTTGGGATGCCATCATTGCTATTCATTGTCTTACCTCATGTAACTCAAACCAAAATCTTCTTACCAAGTAGCCCTCCAGTATTTGCTTTAGCAGGGAAACAACAAACTGATTTTGAAGGGGGAATGGGGGGATAGACGCTCTCTCCATCATGGCTTTCATGATTCTTCCGCCCAACATCACACCTGTAACTACAGGACCAAACTTTAGACTTTTTACAGCATATTCAAGATAACCTTTAGGCTATGCCTACATCAGCAAAAAGTGTGACCCAAGAGAAGCAGATTATTTTAGGGCAAGATAAGGCACACATGAGGTACATCCTCCAATTCAGCTTTATCTAAAAAGAAGTCCATTCATGCACTGAGACCATTTTGTGATACAAATTAAAACGTGAACAGCAGGGAAGACAGATTTATTTCAAGAGTACTCAACTGACCAGAGAGAGAAGTGGTAATGTAGATGCACCCTTAGTCTTCCAACACCTTTCCAGAACACCAGCATCCCTCACTGCTGTGAGAGCATGGAGCGCTGAGATAAGATCCACCCAGGTAACTCTCCCACCAACGAAAATTCAAGCCTAAGCATCTATCAACACAATGTGAACTTATGAGGCATAGGCATGAGCACTGCAGAAAACAGTGACCATCATTAACCTATAGAATCCAATTTCAACTAAGTGGTCCACCAAACCCTTTCACCCCTAAGAGTCTCTCTCCATTGCAGCAGTGGTCAAATTTTAGTTACACCTAGATCGGGGTTTAAAACAAAAAACAAAAAAAAAAAAGTTTTCCTAACTTGTTTTTCACTTGATGACAAAACATTCTGGGCTTTCTCAGAGACTTACAGTGTACAACACTACTAATAAAATCAAGTCACTCACGTTCTCTGCTATCAGAACATCCTCAGATGTTCTCTCATCTCTTTTTATTGTAATGAGTCACAAGACTATTAACTCGAGTGCAGGCATTTGCAACACTACAAGCTCCTGCACATGCAACAAGACTGTTTTCACATGCCAATCCAACATCATCTTTCATTTGTAGGTGTTTACGTTTTCTTTACCAGCAGATGCTACGAAATGCAGAAAAGATTGTAACAGCCAAAGAATTTGGATTAATGTTAGTGAAATACACAGGTTTTAGAATGACACCAGAACCCTACTATTTCCTATACTCAACAAAACCTCCATGAAGTTCAGGGTTCAACAGTTACAGAACATTTGTTACCAAAAATCAGCTACAGCCTAGTGGCTTAACACAGATGTTAAAAAGTTCCACTAATAATCTTTACTACTTTTTTTTAGATGAGTGTTCACCATTTTTCTCCTCTACTTTTATGTCAGTTTTTTTTAACATATTCCATAAAAGGAGAGAAATACCACCCTCTGCCCCCCAAAAGCCCACATATTCACTTTTATTTACAATATTAACATTGTTTTCAGGCTTGGTAGATATTTCAACACTGATAACCAACATTTCCTCAGGCTACTATATTTCTTACAGAACATCAGGTCAAAACTTTATGAGTTTGTCTGAAGATATATAAAGGGACTTAATTCTTTTTTTTTTTTTTTGTTTTTAAGGGGGTGGAGGAGTGACAAAACTGATAACACATTAAAACAGAACAGAACAATTTTTCTAGACTGGTTGTGATTTGGAATTAATATCTGTTAATAACAATCTTTATTATGAGAATAAATACATAAAACAAAAGCAATACATAAGCCACATTTACTCAGATACATTCAGAATATAGCAGGAAGCTAATATACATATTAATCAGAAAACAAACAAGTTTTACTAAGCCAACAACATTGAAGGATAACTGGAAAGTTTATACACTAGAAGCAGTTGTGACTGAAGTGTTTTCCTGATATTAAAGACAAACATACTCCAGTTATAAGCACGAAATAAGAACGGTGATGCACCAACTGAAGTGTTTAGCTCCGTGCAGTGGCCGTTTGAGGTTGTTCCGACTGCAACTGCTTCCCAAGGTATTCCCTGAAATACAAGAAAAAATTAGACTGAGAAAAAATTCTCATAGGTGGGGAGTAGGATGGTGGTGAGAAATATGAAGCAGAGAGAGAGGAAAAAATCTTTACATTTAAAGCTATTCCTTCGAATAGTGACTACTGATATTCAGCACTCAAATGGAGCAAATGTGAGATCACCTAAGCTTTAGGCCCCCATCACATAATCCTCTGAAAACAAGCAGCCAATTGAAGACAAACAACAAAGCCATCCGGAAAAAAAAAAGCCCACTGGTAGTAACTGGAAGTCAGTCCTGGCCACTGCTACAGAACACCCATGAAGTCCATAGGCTTTGCAACAGCCTCTGCTAAGTGTATTCAACAAGCAAAGTATTTAAATGATTACTTCCCATAACCCAGCTGGCATGAATACAAGTAATACGGACATACAGGCAATTTAACTCCTTAGCTATAAGGAGATCTTGCTAGCCTAAGGGACACTGACTGAAGAACTATCAAGTCCGGCCCACTGTATATCAAGACTTTTCTTTAAAGCGTTTTCTTCAGATGTTTTCTGAAATGCATTGAGTTCCTTTTATTTTACACCTGTCCTTTCAAAATTGGAATTAACATCCCAAAATCTTAGCATTGGGATGAACTAGCCTCAAACAGCAATATCTAAGTTCTAAGAAAAAAAAAAAAGAACACACTGCACAATTCTTCTGAGTGTTCCCATCTTTCACTGTCTCCTGTGAAACTCAAGCAGCTTAAACTTCACCAAACCACAAAGCAGCTGAGAGGACTTAATAGCTGGCTTGTTATGCATTACAGAAAATAATCTTTAATAATTACACCACTGTATCAACTGAAGCAGAGGTTTCAGCACCTGTGAAATACAAGAGTTTTCACTTGCTCACGGTGCCCTTCGGATCAGTCTTCCTGACTACACAGGTGTTACAACCTACAATCTGTGCCACAATCTGTTTAAACATTGGCAGCAGTTCAGAGAAGTGATGATCTGAATCAAATTTTAAAAAACAAAACAAAAAATATGTACTTTTGCTTAAAAAAAGCTTCACCCAAAGAAACAAGAATCACTTCTTACTGCACTTTTCAAACAAAACTGGCTTTCAGTTTAGCATCCTGTTAAACAGCTATTCCCTATTTCCCTACACATTAAAATTTCTACTGAAGAATAAAGTTCAGCATCAATGCTATACCACCCAACAGCACTCTTCTCAGTATTAAAATTACAAAGCTTGAAGAACATTATACTTTATAGGAATTTTGCCAAGTTTGAACTCTACTAGCTATGAAAATAACACAGGTAATTTGCATGCTGAACATATGTTATGATTTAGCACCTTCTCTCACAGCTACCAGTATGTCTGGAGAAGAAAGAAAAAGAAAAGAAAAAAAAAAAATCAGCAGCAGCACTGGTGTTCCTGCAAGATAACAATATTTTAATGCTTGGGCTGCACTCAGATACAGCTCTCAACTATAACAGGCAGGTTACCATCCTTGAAGTAGAGATTCTTGAGACCAAGGGAAGAATTAGCTGGTCTCTTACAGTTTTGCAAGAATCAGAGCTACTGCCCAAAATAAACCAAATATGACAGCCATCCATAAACAGAGTCAGCAACAAGGGAAGGGGTTCCAAACTCATCAAGTTTCCTTCTGCTGCCTTTTTCTTTGGTCCATATCCTATATGCTTGTGTTAATTCTAGTATTCCTCCACTCACACCAAGCCTTGAAAGCAACTGATACTTGCCTGTACATGTCTCTGTTCCATTTACTGGATCACAAGACTGAAAAATTATTTTTAAAGCCTGTGAGCCATCTTTAGTGTGCATTTCATATGCGGTTATTCAGAAGGAGGAAAAATAATCAAGCTATCCCAGATAGCACAATTACTGCATGGCATACATTGTTTCTGATGCATGCTCAAGGCTAACTAAAATCCAGCTCTAGTGCAGTATTTTCAACATTAAAAATCTCTGTTGAGAAGGCAGGACAGTAGCATGTTTTGTAGATGTTCAGCACCTTAACAGACATTGAACTTCCAAGCACATACAAGAGATAATACCTTACCCATCAAATCTTTTATTTCGGCAATTCATTTGCAAGCCTGAGGAGTTAGCTCAGGATCAAGGAAAAGTACTTACCCTGATCCCCCTACAGAACGAGCATAGGTATTTACTGCTCTACACTGCCATGCTGCAAACCTGGCTGAAAGCCCCATATCCTCTCCCCACTCTAACCACCAAGGGCCTCCAGAATGAAAAAAATTTGTCCCACTGGTATTTACAAGAACCAGTTAGTTTCCTCATTGAATATCATGTCCAAATGAGTATCACTGGTTAACCTGGAATTAACAAATTCTGCAATTGGCTATACCAGAGGACGGGAAGACAGATATGAGTGGTTTAGACAGCCTCTCAATATGAAACTTCCATGGGAAGCTATTCCACAAGGCATTTTGTGACCTTTCCCTTCCATCTTCTACTAAAATTCAAGTTACAAGAGTTAAAAACTTCAGCAACCATGTTCTCACTCTATTAAACTACAAACTAAAAGGACAATGTGATTCAAGTGTATTTTCACATGATACTTCATCGCATCAGAAGATTAAGGAGAGTACCGTAAACTGTCTGGGCAGTTGAATGGGGCATAGGTGTTCATCATCATGCTGTTACAGATCAAGCGAGTTTAAAATTTTCGATTTATCCTACAACACATTGTTACTTGGTTAAATCTTAAAAGAAAACCTGGACTTTTAGAATCATTGTTTATCCCTCAGAATTAACATGATTTTGAAGAATGCAAGCATTCAGCACACTGCACTGTAACAGCATGAAGGATGAAAGAAGATGGACAGATATCGTCACCAAGATGAATAAAAGACATATCACTTCACAAAATATTCGGAGAATTATCTGACACAGATCAGAAGTGCATGCTACTGTGCAAAGCAATGGATATTACACAGGATTTTTAAAATGAGAAGCTATAAACCCATACACTGAACTCACTTCTATTTTAAACAGATGCTCTATTTTCCCTTCCTTCGTAACTGCAGTAAAAGACCTCCTTTATTGTAATGCAAGCATCACGGTCAGTCTTTTGCAAGCAGATCAGGTTTCCGACACGGCTAAACATAAGCCAGTTCAGAAGGGAAAGTTCACAACGTGCAAGGGCGGCTACTACTAGTAGAGATTCACGCGTGTCTGATCAGTGCATGTTACAGGCAGAGAAAACAAAACATATCCTGCTACCATTTAACCTAGCTGAGTTTCTGGGCCTACATTCCCATTCTCTTTCAATGCCCAATCTTACAGGTCATAGTGTTTTTTTCCCTTACAACCAGCCTGAACAGAACTTTTGAGTGCCTTCAAAAACTCAGTGCATTCCTCAAGATGCACAAAATTTAAGTACAGAGTTGTGGAAGAAGAGCAAAATACCATCCTGGTGGACAAAATACAAATGAAGTCAATACTACTTCCCACTGAAAAATTGCCTTTTATCTCAACTAGGTATTACTTTATTATAGATAATACTTCAAGTCAGTCAGAAATAGTAAATATTCTCTCAGTACACCAGCTGTCCAGCCACTAGGCAAAGGAAATTTTTCTTTTAAATTGTTTAGAGGGATGAAGGGAAATAAAAGCCTGCTTCCTAGTAATCCAGCAGTAGTGAATACAGTGCTTTACTCCTTAGCTACTGTCCAGAAAGGAAAGGGAAACCACCACATGCTTAATGGTGCTCCCTCAAGTCAGTAAGCCTCTGGAAAATTCTGCACCTTCCCACAGAAAACAGCGTGGCAGTTAAGTGTGTCATTTTGGTATATTCCCCATGCTGAGATTGCAGAGGTGAGCACTGCCCACACTTATATTTATTAAGGTATCTTACAACACTTCCTGGTAGCACCAACTCAAAACCACCTACCACAGAACATGCAGACAACCCAGCCCCCAGTGCTAATGAATTTTACATCGAGGTTATTAATAAAGGCACAAGTATCTCGGAAATTCAAATTTGCAAGTTTAGCTCTTTGGGATAAAAAGGTTCTACTTTACCTGTTTTCCTTACACTGGCACACAGAGGCCTTTAAAAAGGTCATTTTTAGCATCTTCATGTCTTCTTTCTACATAAAACCACCCTTATTACAAAGCAGTGAAGCAGATCCAGGCAAGCTTGCATTTACAGTTAACTGGATTCAAACACGAAACAGTCAACAGTCAGCATAAATTTACAAGAGCATGCACAGTACCTATATGCTGTACAAAAGTTAAAACACAAGTTTGGTACGTTACTTTGTATTTACTCTTGAAAGCCCTCCATTTCTTATTTAAAACACATCAAAAAAACTTGAACCACTACACTTTCTCATTTCTTTGAGATTCCAGAAGTCTGACAGTGAGACATTACCTACTCTATTACAGTGTGCCTAAACACCTGGCTGGCATATGTTTAGCCACTTCCATTTGCAAACTAATATTTTGATTCATATTAGAAAAAACAAGCGAGATTCCTTGCACACTAGTGATTTCCCCTTTTTCAGGTTTAATCTTCAAATACAGGTTTTTCTTAAATATACAAAGTGTTTTTTCCAAGGAAAACTGAGAGGAGCATACGTGAATTTGTTGCATCTCTAACGTTCGTTCCTGTTTGTTGCTCTACTCAGTTATGATCTTTTAATGGGTTTTGTTTTCCTATGAGACATACCAACTTCCTCAAGCCCAGGTATGATTACGTGTTATGACAATAGCAACAAATACTCAAAGGTCGTTTAGGAAAAGGAACAAGGAACTCATCCAACGCATAAGCCACCAAATTCACTGACCATGGGGTGAGGAAGTAACTGTGAACTGTGTTGTGAACTGGCACAACACCCTAATTGAAAGTCTTATACCAGTTTTCAAATTCAGCAAAAGGCTATTGTCAACAATAGATAACCCAAGATTGATGGGAAACATTAAAGGTACTTACAACTGACTTCTACGGGTTGAGTGCTAAAAGGAATAAGCTTTG